GGAGGGTCAACGAAAGAGGGGGAGGCCTTCAAGGAGATGGATTGATACGGTGGCTGCGATGATGGGCTCAAGTATAGCAGGGATTGTGGGGCTGGCGCGGAATCGGGCAGTGTTTCGTTCTGCTGTGCATGGGGTCACTACAAGTCGTAAACGACTTGACAGCACTTAACAACAACAATAACAACAAATTCGAGCACGAGGGCATTCCTGGGCCCTGCTGTAGCCCTGCTGATAGGAACAGTCCCTTGGAACAGGCAGAGCTGACAAGGTAAAGAGAGGAAGCTCAGGAAAGATCAGAAAGCAGTGGTATTTTTCACCCTTTGTCACACCTGTAAAGACTGAGACACACTCGTGTAATTTGAAAGTCACCCTGTTCCCTGTACCCGTTAATGGGTTGGAGGATACTGACCACGGCTGCCGTCACCCCCAGACTCTGGTTTCGGGACACCCTGTTCCCTGTACCCCTCAGTGGTTTGGAGGATACTGACCATGGATGCCGTCATCCCCACACTCTGGTTTCAGGACACCCTGTTCCCTGTACCCGTCAGTGGGTTGGAGGATTCTGACCATGGCTGCCGTCATCCCCACACTCTGGTTTCAGGACACCATGTTCTCTGTACCCATCAGTGGGTTGGAGGATTCTGACCGTGGATGCCGCCACTCCTTGCCTGCCTGTGTGATCTGACTGTTCTGGGCATTTCCTACGGGTGGAGCCATATATACGTCCTCATCGTCCAGCCGCGCTCACGCCGCAGGCTTTCGCGGTTAATCCATCTTCAGCAGCGGTCGGTACAGCCCTTCTGCTGAACCTCTTCCACGGCACGGACATTCACCTACCTATGGCTCCGTCAGCCGACTGGCCGCCGGGCTGCTTTCACTTTGGCTACTGACAGCAATGCACTGTGAATCCTGCTGGAAGGGTAGCTCCGAGGATCTTTGACTCCTCCGGGGGGTACACCCAGGAAGGGGTGCTGGGTCACGTGACAGCTCTACTTTAACCTCTGGAGGAACCACCAGGCTGTCGCCACAGCGGCTGCTCCAGGCTACCTTCCCACCAGCAGAGGACAAGGGCTCCAATCTCCCCACGCACCCGCCAGGACGGCTCCTTCTTGCGTTTTGGTGTTTCCACTCTTACCACACCAGTGGTGTCTCTGTCTCTTAACTGGTGTGACAATAGAGCGGCCCAGCCATCTCCAGAGGCAGTCCTCCCGGTAATGAGGGTGGGCCCGCCCACACAGGAAGTGAGCTTATCACACAGGTGAGCTGTCGAGCAACACTTCCTTCCGCCCAGATCTAGCTCTCTGGCCAACGGATCACCACCAACGCCTGGGGAGAGGCTCGAGACGGAACAGCCAACAGCGTACCACAGCCTTCTGGTCCTAAAGTTCACGTCTGTTACACGCCGAAAACCCGCCCTGCTCTCCCCTAGAAGTATCACTGAGAGACGGCCACCCAAAGTGGCCTGCAGACGGACATCGCCGTCTGTCCACACAGGCCTGTAAAGTGAGCGGGAACACGAGGACCACAGTCCTCAGAACCACCAACCAGCCGAGCCACCAAGGGCAGCGTTGGCCCAAAAACAGAGCTCAGGAGAGGCAGGAAGGGACAGGAACGACGGGCAAACAGAAAGGGGGACCCAGGGAGGAAGTGGGAAGGGGCTACTACACTGAAGGGACTGCACCCCATGCTGCAAAACAAAATGTGTGCAAACTGTTGAATAGAAACCGAACCTGCCTGTAAACTTTCACCCAAGCCGCAAAATGTCCAGGAGAAAAGAACAAAGTGATCTTCCCCACCCCCAAAAAAGCTTTTGTGATTAAAGGGCCTGGTCCCCTCAGTGATTTGGGGGGAGTACAGTGGGCCAGAACACCCTCTTTGTGTAGGATTTTGTATGGCAAACATGCGGTTCAATTCTAGCTTCCGGCAACAGGAAGTCACAGGCTTCAGGAGATGTGCTTAACAAGGAGGAACATCGAGGCCCTGCTGGGCGCTGGGCATCTGCCAACCCTCCTGACAACCCGGGTGCCCTGCTCTCTGACTGGCTTGTGTGGAAGCCTGCTGTCCTGGGGGGAGCAGAGCTGAGGAAGGGTTACAGCCAGGCTCCTGCCAGGCCTCCCTGCCACCTCTCCTCCAGAGCCCCTCACCTGAGCAGTCAGATGAGGAAAACCCAGGAGCAGGCCACTGTCTGACACCCACCCTTCCACCTGAGCACCCTCTCCTTGCTCCTGGCCCTCAGCCACCAGAATTGCCTGATTGTGCCCCAAACGTATACCTGTCCCTGGCATGCTCCAGGAAGGAAAGCTACCTTAACTAGCACACAGCTCTGCAGGATAACAAACAAACAAAAAACCCACTGCCTGGAGTCGTTTCTGACTCACAGCGCCCCTAGAGGACAGAGAGGAACTGCACCACAGGGCTTCCCAGGCTGTAATCCTTACAGAGGAGCTCTGGTGGTGTAGTGCCTAAGGCACTTGACTGCTAACCAGAAGGCTGGCAGTTCAAACCCACCAGCCACTCCTCAGATGGAAAGCTGGGCAATCTACTTTCGCAGTGACACAGCCTCGGAAACCCAAGGAGGGGTCGCTGTGAGTTGGGTCTGACTCAATGGCACAGAACAACAACAACAATCCTTACAGAAGCAGACTCCCTCATCTCTCTCCTGTGGAGAGGCTGGCGGGTTTGAACCACTGATCTTTCAGCTAGCAGCTGAGCCATTAACCACTGCACCACCAGGGCTCCTTCTACACGAGTAGCCCCAGAAACCTCTTGAACCCAAGTCTACTCCCAAACCAGCTCCCCATGCTGCTCGCCCTCAGAGCACACGCGCTGCCAAGTCTTCCCACAGTGGTTTTCATGACGGGGGTAAAGCGGGAAGCTGAGCAGTCGGGGGGCCCACCCCAGATCAACACGGCGCCATCCCGTCTACCTTCTCCGCGGCCGAGGGCTGGCTCCTCCCTCGAAGCAACGAAGCTCGGGGCGGGGGCAACCTGCTGGCGGTCTTTCTCTGCACCACCGCCTGACTCGGACGGTGAGCGGCACTTGATGCCACAGCCGCAGAGGAGCGAGCCGAGGGACGGGGCTGCTGCGTGCGGGTGAGGCTGGCCTGGGCAGGAGCGCGGCCGGGGCACGGGGCCAGGCCTTCAGGGGGCTGAAGTTCCACGTGTGGCGGGCCCATCAGAGGGCTCTCTGACAGGTAGTACGTTTCCCTCTTCAGTGACGTGGGGCTCTTCTTCATCTCATTTCCTTGCTCGAAGAGGTTTATTTTCAATTTTGATTCCTGCACAAATATTTCCGGGCCCTGGCCTCTGGGGCCTCCAGGCTTGGTGGCACCAGAGCCCCTGGTTTTGCTGCTGCCCTTGATCTGCAAGGCCAGTAGGTGAGCTTCTTTGCAGACTTGCGCAAACGTCTCGCCTGCCAGAGGGCTCCAAGGAACGCGACTCCCCGATGCTGGCAGAGCTTCTTCAGAGCTTGGACCGTTCGATTCGCTGCTGGCAGCCAGACACCTCTCTCTTCGGTCAACAGGTCCAGAAAAGACGTCCTCATCTTCGTTTGCACTGTATGTAAAGAAAAGGTTGTTAATCACACTGGCACGGAAAGACAGGACTTTACTCAGGCCAGGGAAAACACTCACTTGCTTACCTGGAGGAAGACAACGAAAGATCAAAGTCGAACTTCTCATCAGCCAGAAGCAGAATGTCTACAGGGAGAACAGTAAGCTGTTACTGTCAGGCGGGACAGGGCAGAGAGAACCCACCACCGTCGAGAGCGACCTGAATGACCGTGGAATTTCACCCCAAAGCACAGCCTACCCTATCTCCACAGTCACACCTTCACAGGCTGCTATAGATCATCTTATTTGTTCTGGTTCTTTCTAAAATAGCATTAGCCACTCTGTGTGTGCTAAGTCACCCTCGGCAGAAATTCTGATCTTAAGCTGTAACCTAAGTGCACCCTGAGCCATCTGCCCTGCTGCTCAGATGCACCCAAGTCCTCTTCAGGTACAGAACATTTTCAGTGGACCAGCCTCCGGTCTCCTAGAATCAAGCCCGCCTCTTACAAACTAAAACATCTACTCATCTTCACAAAGGAAAACAAGAATCGCTCAAACACACAGTAGGACATCAACATGTATTTGTTGACTAACAGTCATCTCTTCTTTGGAGTCTTTCCTGAGCTCCCAAATAAAACAGCACCTCGCACCCCACCATATTTACAGCACACCACCCAGCACCCATCTGTAACAGACCACAGACTCCCGGGGTCAGTCGGTACCTCTGTTGGGGCAGAGGGCAGTGTGACTCGGGGGTAGAAGTCCTGCCTCCCGTGTGGGAAAGCGCCACCACCGTCTGTCAGTCTGTCCTACTTGGGTGGCCTGCACACTGCTGTCAGTGTGTCATACTGGGGTGGCCTGCACGTTGCTGGGAGGCTGGAGGCCAAGCCACCACCGTCGTCAGTCTGTCGTACTGGGGTGGCCTGCACGTTGCTGGGAGGCTGGAGGCTGTGCCAGCACTATTTCAAATACCATCAGGGTCACCCGTGGTGGACAGATTTCACTGGAGCTTCCAGACTAAATCAGACTCAGAAGGAAAGTGCTACCTACTTCTCGAAGAACTGGCCAAGGAAAACCTTATGAATAGCAGTGAAACACTGTCTGATACATTACTGGAAAACTCTATGAACAGCCCTAAAACACTGTCGATATAGTGACATAAGATAAGCTCCTCAGTTTGAACGGCACTCAAAATACAACTGGGGAAGAGCTGCCTTCTCAGAGTAGAGTCGACCTTAACGACATGGATGGAGTAAAGCTTTTGGGACTTCCATTTGCTGATGTGGGACAACTCAAAATGGGAAGAAACAGCTGCAAACATCTGTTAATAATCAGAACGTGGAATGTATGAAGTATGAATCTAGGACAATTGGAAGTTATCAAAAATGAAATGGAATGCATAAAGTTTGATATCCTAGGCATTAGTGAGCTGAAATGGACTGGTTTTGGCCATTTTGAACCAGACATTCATATGATCTACTATGCCAGGAATGACAAATTGAAGAGGAATGGCGTGGCATTCATTGTTACAAAGAATGTTTCAATATCTATCCTGAACTACAATGCTGTCAGTGAAAGGATAATATCCATATGCCTACAAGGAAGACCAGTTAATACTACTATTATTCAAATTTATGCACCAACCACCAAGGCCAAAGAGGAGGGAAGATTTTTACCAACTTCTGCAGTCTGAAATTGACCAAACATGCAATCAAGATGTGTTCATTATCACTGGTGTCTGGAATGCAAAAGTTGGAAACAAAGAGGAATCACCAGTAGCTTGAAAATTTGGCCTTGGTGATAGAAATGATCCTGGAGATCGCATGATAGAATTTTGCAAGACCAACGACTTATTCAGTGCATATACTGTTTTTCAACAACACAAATGGCAGGTACACACGTGGACTTTGCCAGATGGAGTACTCAGGAATCAGATTGACTACATCTCTGGAAAGAGGCAATGGAAAAGCTCAGGAGCTGATTGTGGAACACACCATCAACTGCTCATATGCAAGTTCAACTTGAAGTAAAAGATAATTAAAACAAGTCCACAAGAGCCAAAATATGACCTTGATTATATCCCTCCTGAATTTAGAGACCATCTATAGAATAGATATGATGCATTGAACACCAATGACCGAAAACCAGAGGAATTGGGGAATACATCAAGACATCATACATTAAGAAAGCAAAAGATCATTAAAAAGACAAGAAAGGAAGAAAAGACCACAATGGATGTCAGAGGAGACTCTGAAACTTGCCCTTGAATGGAGAGTAGCTAAAGCAAATGGAATAAATGACAAGATAAAGAGCTCAACAGAAGATTTCAAAGAGCAACCCGAGAAGACAAGGCCAATTACTATAATGAAATGTGCAAAGACATGGAGTTAGAAAACCAAAAGGGAAGAACATGCTCGGCATTTCTCAAGCTGAAAGAACTGAGGAAAAAACTTAAGCTTCAAGTTGCATTACTGAAGGATTCTATGGACAAAATATTGAATGATGCAGGAAGCATCAAAAGAAGATGGAAGGAATACATAGAGTCACTGTACCAAAAAGAATTGGTCAATGTTCATCCATTTTAGGAGGTGGCATGTGACCAAGAACCAATGGTATTGAAGGAAGAAGTAGAAGCTACACTGAAGGAAATGGCAAAAAACAAAGCTCCAGGAATTGATGGAATACCATTGAGATGTTTAAACAAATGGATGCCACGCTGGAGGCACTCGCTCATCTATGCCAAGAGATTTGGAAGATAGTTGCCTAGCCAACTGACTGGAAGAGATCCATAGTTGTATCCATTCCGAAGAAAGGTGATACACCTGAATTGTGCACATAAGAGATAGACAACAGATGCTAATACCAACCAATGTGTCCACAATGCCACACTGCCATTAACACCAAACACTAGGCTATACAGATAAACACATAAACACCTGAGATGATCAGACGGGGGGTCAGTGAACAGAGGTATACTCTAAACCAAGGATAGATTCAGCTGAGGCTAATCTTGCACAGACACCAGTGATACAAAATACCTGCAATCCTTATAGAAACAATAGAAGACAGACACTGAGTAATCCTTCACAAACATCCCGACACTATGGAGAGAGATCCAATAGATCTACACCTCAGAACCATAGTACCGGGGAACACCAGACTCAATTGGCACAACAAAATACATAAAAAGCTCCACAATCTATATTGGTGAATAGAGACTGGAGTCTTAAAAGCTTTCAAGCAGCCATCTAAGATGCAGCTAATGGTCTCCTAGCGTAGAAAATGAAGAAGAACACACACACACACACACACACAAACCCAAGGGCATTTGGAAGCACTCAGCCCTAGGACATGAAGGCCCTCGAGACCAGAAGAACTGGATGGTGCCTGGCTGCCAATGCCAACCACTCAGGAAAGGATCAAATCTGGAGATCCTGGATAGAGTGGGAGGTAAAACACGGAACAAAATCCAAACACTCAATAATGACCAGAATTACTGGTCAGATGAAATCTGGTGAGACTCCCAATACTATGGCCCTGGAATACATTCTGCACCTGGAATAAAACTCACCCCCAGGGGCGAGCTCTCAGCCCAATAGTTAACAAGGTGTATAACCCCGGATGCCTCACCCACGTACTCTATGGTAATACATCCCTTAGAGCAAATAGACCATGGGACACCAGAGGACCAACATTCAAACTGAGGAAATGCAGGACAAACAGGAATGTATAATTATGAGGGGCACAGGGGGAGGGTTGCAGAGTAGGGAGGGGAGGAGAGTGGGTTTGTTTGGACATGGCGAATGGGGAATGAAACTAAATGTACGCATTATGTTGAATGTAAAACAAGCTCTTAAAATTAAAAAAAAATTAAAAAAATAAAAGGTGATCCCACAGAATGTGAAAATTATTGAACAATATTGTTAATTTCACATGCAAGTAAAATCTTACTGATGATAACTCAAAAGTGGTTGTAGCAGTATATTGACAAGGAACTTACAGAAATGCAACTTGGATTCAGAAGACAACATGGAACAAGGGATATCGTTGTTGATGTCAGATGAATCTTGGCTCAAAGCAAAGAATACCAGAAAGATGTTTACTTGTGTTTTATTGATTACGCAAAGGCATTCGATCATGTGGATCATAACAAATTATGGGTAACATTTAGAAGAATGGGAATTCCTGAACAATTAACTGTGCTCATGAGGAATCTATATTTAGACCAGGAGGCTGTCATCCAAATAGAACAAGGGGATACTGCATGGTTTAAAATAAGAAAGGGAGTGCAGCAAGGCTGTACCCTTTCACCATACTTAGTCGATCTGTATGCTGAGCAAACAATCCAAGAAGCTGGACTATATGAAGAACATGACATCATGATTGGAGGAAGACCCATTAACAACCTTGATAACTAGACAACATAACATTGCTTGCTGATGAAGATTAATGACTACAGTCTGCAGTATGGATTATACCTCAACATAAAAACCAAAAACCAAACTCATTGCCTTCGAGTTGGATCCGACTCATGGCGACTCCTCCTTGGGTTTCTGAGGTGATTGCTAGGGAAGTAGATTGCCTCAACATAAAGAAAACGAAAATCCTCACAACTGGACCAATGAGCAGCATCATGATAAATGGAGAGAAGACTGAAGTTGTCATAGATTTCATGTTACTTGGTTCCACAATCAACACCAATGGAAGCAAGACATCAGACGACAAATTGCACTGGGTCAATCTGCTGCCAAAGTCCTCTTTCAAGTGCTGAAGAGCAAACATGTCTCTTTGAAGACTAAGGTGTGCCCAACTCAAGGCATGGTATTTTCAATCGCCTCATATGCATTTGAGAGCTGGACAATGAATAAGGAAGACCGAAGTGTTGATGCTTTTGAGCTGTGGTATTGGTGAAGAACGCTGAAAGTGCCATGGACTGCCAGAACTAACAAATCTGGAAGAAGTGCAGCCAGAAAGCCCCTTGGAAGCAAGAATGGCCAGACTTCATCTCACCTACTTTGGTCATGTTATCATGAGGGACCATTCCCTGGAGAAGGATGTCATTCTTGGTAAAGTGGAGGGTCAGGGAAAAAGGAGAAGGCCCTCAATGAGATGGATTGACACAGTGGCTGCAACAATGGGCTCAGGTCTAGCGGGGATCAGGAGGCTGGCACATGACTGGGCAGTGTTTCGTCCTGTTGTACACAGGGTCACTGTGAATCGGAGCCCACTCGATGGCACCTAACAATGACACGCGGGAGACCGGGGTTCGACTTGAGCCAATCACCTCAAGCGCAGCCCCTAGCCATCTGTCATGGAGGCCTGTGTGCTGCTGGGATGCTGAGCAGGTGTCAGGAGAGCTTCCAGACCAAGACCAGGAGGAAAGGCCTGGGGACCGACTTCTGAAAATGAGCCACAGAAAACCCCACGGGTCCGGACGGTCTGGTCCTTAGGCCACCACGGGATGGTGTGGGACCGAGCAGTGCTTCCCTCTGCTGCACGTGGGGTCTCGGTGAGTCAGTGTCCACTCAAGGGCAGCTGACAGCTGCTGGGGCAACTGCCCCATGGCACCAGCTCCCCCCAGGGCACCCACAGCACCCTGACCTGACCTCACTATCCCATCACCACAACCAGACTGTAAGTGCCACCAAAATGACAAATGCCTTGCACTTCCCTGAATTCCCCAATGCCCAGCAACAGTCCCACTTAGCCAACGTTTAGGGAAACACACTAAACTTGCATCCCAGTTCTGTAAACAGCGGATGGCAGGCACAAATTATAACACATTTCGTCCTCATGCACAATGCAGACTGCCTACCAAAAGCGTGACATTTAAAAACGTGCTGGTCCTCAGTGAGCCCTAATTAGTCACTTAATCGGTTCTAGTTACCTAAAGAAGGCCAAGGTAGAAAGCACAGGTACACGAGACGTCAGGGGGCACTAACCACAGAAAGAGGAAATGAAGATTCACGAACTAGCTCGTTCCGCTCCAGGCCACAAATCCTAAAACCTCGGCTGACATGGATAATTCACTAGGAAACAGAATTAACCAAAATCGACTTCAGAAGAGAGAAAGCCAGCCACTGGAGGAACGTGTCAAAGGATGTCCCTGCCACAAAGGCACCAGCCCCAGGTCGCTCACCAGGACAGGCTGGCACCTCTTCAAAGAGCATGTCATCCTAATGCTGTTCAGTGCCCTGGAGGACAGACCAAGGAAACCCTCCAACTCATCCCCACGATGCAAGCGTACTTATGGTCCCATAACCCTATAAAGTTTGCTCAGCAGATGAAGCTACAGACCGCTCTCACTCATGTGGCACAAAAATCCTAAACAAGAGTATCAACACCCAGAATCCAGCAGCATGCCGAGAGAGTGATAATCACAACGTACTATAACCAAGTGAGGTGGACTTCAGCACCCTTAAAGAGCAACAGAACGTTAGTCAGTCCAGTAACGTAACTCACCACATTACTGGACCTAAGGGGAAACCATGTGATCATCTCCATATATGGAGTATGATGAAATGCAACGCACACTAACTTTACAAACTCTTGCTGTTAGGTGCTGTGGAGTCGGTTCCAACTCGCCGCAACCCTGTGGACAACAGAGCGAACCTGCCCAGTCCTGCCCCAGCCTCAATCGCGGCTATGCCTCAGCTCATGACTGTAGGCACTGGGTCAGTCCCTCTCAGTGAGTGTCCTTCCTTTTTCGCTGACCCTCTACTTCACCAGGTACGATGACCTTCCCAGGGCCTGGTTGCTCCTGACAACACAACCAAAGTACGAGACACTGAGTCTCACCATCCTCATTTCTCACCAGCATTCCAGCTGTACCTCTTCCAGACAGACTTGTTCGTTCTCTGGCAGCCCATGGTGTATTCAATGTTCTTCACCAACACTGTAATTCAAAGGCATCAATTCTTCGGTCTTCCTTATGAATTGTCCAATTTCGCACACATATGAGGCATGTGAAAATTATCATGGCTTGGATCAGGTGCACCTTAGTCTTCAAAGTAGAATCTTTGTTCTTTAACACTTTAAAGAGGTCTCTGGCAGCAGATGTGCCCAGTGCAACATGTCGTTTGCTTTCTTGACCGCTGCACCCATGGGCATTGATTGTGGATCCAAGTGAAGTGAAATCTTTTTTTTTTTTTTTAATTGTGATCTGGGTGAAATTTTACAAAGCAATTTCTCTTTCTATACAGCAGTTCACTTACACTTTGTCTCATGACATTGACTGCAATTTCCCACAATGCAACAGCTCCCCTCTCACTTTCTCCTGACAGTCACCTCTTCCCTATGTCCATCCCTCCATGCACCCCTGCCCCCTGAGCTGTCTCCCTGTGCATAAACAGCCCCTCTTTCTCCCATGATTGTTCTCTCCAAGGAGTGTATTTACCCCAGGTAAATGTTCAACTCCTATGCCTGTCTTTTGTTTGGCTGGGAGCCACAGGTATGGGTTCAATTCCAGACCTGAAGGGCAGCTAGGGGCCATAGTCTCAGTGGTTCCACCAGGCTCTATCAGACCAGCAAACCTGGTCCCCCCCCCCTTTTTTTTTCTCCAAATGATTTTGGTTTTGTTCCACATTGTTCTCCCTCTCTATCCAGGATCTCCTACATAGATGCCCCTCCAAGTGGTTGACAGTGGTAGCCGGGCACCATCTATTTCTTCTGGTCTCATAGTCATATAGGCTGTGGATCAAATGGTGTACCGGTTGCTAGGACCAATTCTTTCCATGAATCTTTGGTTTTTTTCATTCTTCCTTGCTCTGGATGAGGAGAAACCCATTGTTGCATCTAGATGGCTGCTTGCAAGCTTTTAAGATCTCAGTCACTGCTCGTTAAAGTAGGAGGTAAAACAGTTTTTTGTATAGTATGTTATACTAGTTGAGCTTGATGTCCCTGTGACTATGGTCCCAAGCCCACAAGTTCAACTACTCGGTCCCTCTGGGTAGCTTGCTGTGACCAAGAAAGTGACCACAACCTTGTCCCTTGTCAGCTCTACTATACACCTGGGAATTCAGATCATACAAATAAACTTATAGGACCATTGTCTGCAAACCCTATACATGGTCTTGGGTACACTCCTCACTTCATAGACATACCTATATAGTTCAGCCTGTCCACCCATCTATCCACCCATATACCGGTGTTTGCTTTCACTGGCAATGCAGTACTGCATGTGCAAAAGGATTCATCTTTGTTGTCTGTACCTCCCATGTACCTCTCTATGTCTTCCTCTTCCTCAATGCCACCATGTTGATTACTCACATTTGGTACACTGCCTGAAGTGAAATCTTTGATTATTTCAATCTTTTCTCTGTTTATCATTTGTTGCTTATCAGTCCACTTGTGAGGATTTTTGTTTTCTTTATGTTGAGGTGCAATCCACACTGCAGACTATAGTCTTTGATCTTCAACAGCAAGTGCTTCAAGTCATCTTCACTTTCAGCAAGCAAGGCTGTCATCTGCATATCACAGGTTGTTAATGAATCTTCCTCTAATCCCAATGTCACATTCTTTGTCATATAGTCCAACTTCTCAAGATTATTTGCTCAGCGTACAGATTGAATAAATATGGTGAAAGGATACAACTTTGACACACATCTTTCCTGATTTAAAACCATGTAGTATCTCCCTGATCTGTTCAAACAATGGCCTTTTGGTCTGTGTTACAGATTTTGTATGAGCACAATCATGTTCCAGAATTCCCATTCTTCACAATGGTATCCATAATTTGTTAAGTTGCACTTGATTCAGTGCCTCTGCACAGTCAATAAAACACAAGTGAACATCTTTCTGGTAGTCTTTGCTTTCAGCCAAGATCCATCCAACATTGGCTTTGATTTCCCTCATTCCACGTCCTCTTCTGAATCCGGCTTAAATTTCTGGTAGTGCCTTGTCAGTGTACTGCTGCAACTGTTTTTGAATTATTTTCAGCAAAATATTACTTGCATGTGATATTAAAGATATTGTTTGATAATTTCCACATTCTGTGGGATCATGTTTGTTTGGAATGTGCACAAACATAGATATCTTCCAGTTGGTTGGCCAGGTAGCTGTCTTCCAAATTTCTAGGCATAGATGAGTGTCTAAAAACTCTTATTAAAAAATAATAGGTGTATTTTATCAGGTTAAGGATGTATCTATATCAACAAAAAGCCAAAATCAGGTTTAATGGGAGAATACCAGAAGCAATGCTTCTAAAGCAAATATGTTTGATCAGTTAGGACAGGCCGACTTAGGCTGCTACACCTGTCTGTCAGTTGTTGTACCGTGCTGGAAGCAATGCCATCGGTATCTGAAAGCCCAGCAGGGTCACCCATAGGAGACAGGTTTTCCAGGGACCTTCTAGACGAAGATCAACTTCCAGAACATCAGCCAATGAGAGCTCTGCAGACCAGAGCAGATACTGGCTAAGAGCGCAGGAGGAGGAGCCCCTGAGGGAGGGAGGCACTCCAATTACACAGCAGCTGTAAAAATGGACTCAGCCGACCAACATTCGTGAAGCTGGCACACCGGACTTGAGCACAGTAGTGACCGTGAAGATGGCGCCGCACCGGGCAGCATTTTGTTCCGTTGTACGTGGGCCACCATGAGTAAGACCGACTCAGCCAGTAACAACAGTTTAAGCTGCAACAACAAAGTCCCCCCAAAGCTCAAGTGGCTTAAAACAGTTCAGTGTCAGCTGAGGGTGGGCCGGGGCTCTGCCTCCTGTCCGCCTTACTCCAGGGCCCTGGCAGACAGGGCCTCCACCACCAGGTACACTGCTGGTCTCCATGGAAGTGGCAAGTTCCACACTGGCTCTTGAAGGCTCTGTCACTGAGTGGGAATCAACTGGACAGCAAGTAATCACACCGCCACCCAGAAGTGACAAGGACAAAGCATTTCCAGTGCGCTGGCCAGGAGGTCACGTGGCTAAATCTAACGTGCAGTGGGCAGGAAAGTACTGTTCCATCATGGACCCTGGAATACTAACAAACAGCACCGGAGCCACACCCACCTGTCAATTAACCCACAAGCCAGCAGGAAGCTTCCAGGGAACTGCAGAAGCAGTGCCTTTAAACAAGGCACACAGCAATGGCAGCACCACCCTTACGAGGATTCTGGACACAGTAACACAACTAGACAATCAGAAAGACTCTGGAGGTGTGGTTACCACGGTGCACACAGACTGTGAGTACAGACACGGGAGAAGATCAGCTGTAAACAGCAACAGTCGGTAGAAAGTTTCAGGAAAAGCATCCCTGACAGTGAACGCTTTCACATAGACGCACGACAGTTAAAAAGATAAAACGGAAGAAGCATCGCACTGACAGCAGCAACAAACCACAAAATACCTGTGAACAAATCTGAGAGAAATAAGCGAGATAGATATAAGACACAGTGTGAAAGTAACGCATCAAGTAAGAACCTATCCTCCATGGTGGTGACATAAACCAAGTAACCCTTTGGAAGAAAAACAAGACGTTTGACCCATACCTCACACCAAACCAGGATAAATTCCAACTAAATCAAAGACTTAAGTGAAAACAAAAAATGATGCCCTAATGAAACAAGAGGAAACCACAGGGAAATTATTTCATAACCTGGGAGTGTGGAGGCCTAAGTATGATACCAAACTGGATGACCATCTGCCATCAAATACAAGATTATATATTTTCCAGATACATAAAATTTTTAAAATCTCTGCATGGCAAAAATCACGTGAGCAAAGTTAAAAGGAACAAGAAGCGGGGAAAAGAATATTTGCAACTAATACCACAGACAAAAGGCTTGTAAGAGTGATGGCAGAAAACCACAAACAACCTAACCAAGAAACAGACACAGAAGATGAACAGGTAATTCACCAAAATCAAATGATATGCTCTCAGCTATGTGACAAGCTGTCCCACCTCACCCAAAAGAAAGAGTGATGCTGATCTGGGAAAGGAGCGCAGGACTGGATACAAAAAGTGACCAGTGTAATCAGTGTCACTGAACTAACTGTATGGGTGCAAATTGTTGAGATGATGTGTTTTGTTCTGGGTAATTTCACCATGATAGTAATAATAAAAAAAGTGTGAAAAAGAACCTTACCCTAAGAGTTCACTTTACACCTATCAGGTTGGCAAAAATCAAAATGTTTGACCTAGATTTAAAATGGAGTCTTGTCAGTAATCACCACGCTAAC